GCCTCGTGAAGTTGCGCGTATTAATGCAATTAAAACGAAAGGGCTGCATCTCATTTAAATTATCACCCTTTCTCGTAGCTTTTTTTCCTGTGGAATTGCAACACTGGAGATATGCTGACAAGTTTTATTAAGTTCTGCCAGCCCCCCCGATACTTCCCAGGAGTTTAAATTGCTGGTGACATGCAGAAATCACATGTTTCTCTGGATATTGAGAATTCCTCCTACTACCCCCTCCCCTCCCCTCCCCTCCCCTCCCCTCCTTGCTCAAAGAAAGAAAAATAACAATCAAAAGCAGAAAGTGAGCAGGAAGAACAGCCTCCTTCCTCGCCTGCGCATTACAAGGAGGAACACAAAGGGATTCTGTCCTTTGGAGATCCCTCTTTTCGGGCAGAGGGGCGCCGACAGCCCGCCCGCTAATTAGCGTCAGGAGGACGCGGGTCTGAGCAAAAGCAATTAGCGCCGAGGCGGCGGGACGTGCGTATCTCGCCATTTAACGGCGGCGGCTCAGATCCTCCTTCGCCGAAAACGACTTTGAAAAAAATATCGCTTTTTTCATTCCGTGCGGTGACCGTATCGTCACGTACATAGGAAAAGTATATTTTTCAAGTCTAAGGTGAGGAATTAGAAGATGTATATTTAGCCACATACACCTGGATTTCGTCCCAGGTGTTATTAATAATGACAGTTTGGGGCTCTGGGAGAAAAAAACCCCACCTGCGTTTCATAAATTTCTTAAAAACAATTGCTTAAGTCGAGGGCAGCGCAGTGGTCCGGCAGGTAGTGATGAGGTCCATATTGAGGGCTCCCAGTCTGAGTTTGTCTCTTTGAATGGGAAGTTGTTGGGTTATCTGGTTCCCTCCTGAGTCCAGACACTGAATTCTGATTGTAGCCTATGTGTTTGGGCCCTAAAATGGACTGATGACCAGTCCGGGGTGTATCCTGTCTCTCACACACACCGTACTTTCCACAATAAGCGCTGCATCACTAAATTGATGCCATTTTTTTGGAAATGGACGGATGGCCACTTGAGTTGAACCATGTCCTGTTTTAAGTCAAGGCAGTAAAGACCACTATTACTGTACATTCGCATTTTGTGGTCTCCTTCTGCTTGATCTGCTTCTGCTTGATCTGCTTCGGCTTTATCAGTTTTCCACGGGTGTGTAAATGCAAGTGATTAACAAACCTAAAACCTAGATGGGAAGTCGCAATTACCTCAGCGCCTAACCCTGGATTTAAGGCAGTGCGTCTACATTTAATCCCCTTAGCCGGCAGGGTCGTTCAGATTAGCCAGCCCAGTGGGCTGCAGTCAAGCATTTTAAAGGGTGAAATCGTGGCCATTTTCTCCGTTGCGTTTACGCTATGGGGCAAAAAAGCTCTTTCTAGCACCATGAGCGAAGTCGCCTTGTCTTTACACACCGGAGTTTGACGAGACCTGGTCTCCAATTACAATTATGCAAGTTCTGCAAGTATTTTATCGCAGTAATACCGGTATTTTAGCATTTTTTTTTATGTGGTTAAAGAACAAGATAGAGATTTTTTCTGCACACGTCGTTCTAATGCAAACGACGACTGTGATATTCTAGTCACAGTTTTGGGAGCATGGAATAGAAGGGATTTGCCTTTCGCTTTGGTTTCCAATTCCAATATTTAATCCTAACAAAAAACGTGTGAGTTGGATAAAGATTGGGGATTAAACCGCACTGCCTGTGCTGCCTCAGATAGTCTGCACTCACGGTCAAAACACGCTTGTTCTCCGGCACTGTGAGGGACTGTCACTGTGAGGGATTGTAGTATATAAAAATAACTGCCCCCCCCCCCCAGCTGTGAAGTGCGGCCCCTATTCCCCCCTGGACGTCCCGTAACCCCCACAGCAGACGGCCGTCAGGGGCCCCGCACACCGCGCGCTGCTTGCCTCCCCGCTGAACCCTGCGATGGGACTCGTAAATATTAAAAGGGAGTGGGGTGGCGTGCTGGAACCCTCTTATGGAAAATGCCTTAGGTAATGAAAGTTTACTCCGCTACACTTGACAGTCTGCCGCTCTGATGTTTTATCTGTGTCAGCTTACAGACCGTTATACCGACAGGCGACATGCCGAATTCGGATGCGCCTTCAATTTGAGCCGCTTTTCCCGAAAACCAATTAAATGCATTTACACATCTTAATATATCTATATATAAAGCCCCGACTCGATCCAGTCGTGTTTTCTAATGTCATTCCTCAACCATTTTTAATGTAAGAAAAGCTAACATTTTACATCACTCAGGAATCAGCAGGTGTATAAGGCAGCATCTCTGAACAGGATCGGTTCGGCCTGTATAGATCTTATTTGACCGCTTATACAATTATTTATTATTGATGTGTTCTTTTAACATTATTTTAGTTCACATCAGAAACACTTAAGGCCAGGTTTTCAGTAATTTATAAACACGTTCATAACAAATAATAATCATTCATAAAGCATTATATTTATAAAAAGGCATAACACATTATAGCCACGTGTATTATGCATTATGAATGCTTTATGAAGCTCACATCTATAATGTACTGTATATACCTTCATTATGCATTATAATAGTCAGTATAAGGATTAAGGATGCTTTGTACTGCATTATAAAGGTATAAGTGCATTATAGATGAGAGCTTCATAAGGCAGTCATAATGCATAATAGACAACCTACAGAACCAAAATATTACTGATTCACATTATTACTTACTGATAAGTAAAGTTGTCCTAATGAATTCAGTGCAATATTCAGACTGAAAGAAGCATTTTATGGTTTTCATGCAATGGGGCTGTACATGTAGCGGCCAGGTAGGCGGAGCTAGGGCGCAGAGACGGCGGCCAGGCAGGCAGAGGTAGGGCGCAGAGACGGCGATCCCCGCTGTTTCCTAAGGCTGCGTCATATCATGTGTCCCCTTACCCACGCTGGTCATTGCGGTGCCTGGGCTCAGCACTGATTTCCGGGATTCAGCCTGACAGAAGTCGGCATCGCGGGCATCTGATAGTGAGTGCTCTCCCCGGACTCCGTTTTCACTTTGCATAAAGGCCGTGACGCGTCCAGCTGCTCGGCTCTGGCACCGAGTCCCCCATTGGGGTCCCTGGCACCCGGAGACGCCTGATTAAAACATCAGCATAATGAGAGCGCGGGACGGATGTGGCGTCACATGTGTGTGAAATCTGAGTAGTACGTCTGTTTTCGGTAGTGGTGTGGGGCTGAATGCACGCGTGGACTTTAAAAGCCACAATGTATGTATTTTATTATTCTTAATAAGGATCATTTTGTGTCTGACTTGCAGGCTACTGCAGAGATAGAAAGCGTTTCCCTTCACATTTGCACACCAAAGTGATCTTTAAACATTTCTTTCTTTGGTGTTTATTAAGCTGGTCTCCTTTCCATGTGTTTATTATTTTCAAAATAATTAGGTTGGACTTTAAAAATGAATTGACCAGTATTTCCAAGGTGGACTGGGACCCCCTAAGGATCAGCAACCTGTCTGTACATGCAGGGGCCCTGGAGAGGCATGGATACACTGGTAGATTCGGGGGGGGGGGGGGGGGGCAGCAGTTTTTAGGGGCCCAAAACCCAGTAAGGGGGCCTCTAATTTCTTCATATTGAAAGTGCCAACCCAAGTAGAATGTCAAGCTGCGCCCCTGTGCACACGGACAAGCGTGTGCTTGGCAAAACTCTGTGACACAAAAGAAGCAACGTTGGCTGCGATTCTAAATACCATGTCCGTGGTATAAAAAGTCATTTTGATCACAGTGTCCGTCAGAATTCGGCATGGTGTTGCAGGCACGCAGTTAGCACCAGGGATGGATGGGATGGGTCCCCTTCAGATTCAGAGTGACCTCGATCCGTCCCCCCCACTTACAGGACAAAAAAAACAGCATCTGGCGTCTTTGCATACCTGCTCTTTGCCAAGGCTAGCTAAAAAAAAGCCTACTTTTCATTTGACCATAGGTGCCCCTTTTCCGTTCGTCTCAACTGGTATAAATGAGTTGCAACCCTGACCAGTAGCGGCATTAAAACACAATACCTATTTCATCTGGAAGTGTAACTGGCCTATAACTGCACACCAAATAATGCTTTTTTTAAGCAATTTTAAGCAATTACGTACCCCCATCACGTACTTAAAGTCCAGAGTATTACAAGAATACTTGTAAAGATCAGTTATTTAAAGCCAAGTACTGCCGTTCTACAGGTAAAACTGAAAGCAATGGTTATGGGTTTTATTTTTCTTTGATTCCCTGGCTCTGCTTTCGTATGGTGTTATTTCAGGGTGCTGCAGTTCTGCGGGCAACGCCTGCCACCTGGCGGAGGTCATCGGCAGTACAAGGATTACACAGGATGACGGCGATCCTGGTCTAAGATAAATGCTGAGCGGAGGCCGGAGCCCACGTCACACACCCCACAGGAGGAAAACGCTCGTTCCGTTCTCTAAATAGCGTAAAAGATTCGTGCAACTCTAAAATAATGATTATATAATAATAATTATATATAAATAATTGTGGGTCTCTCTTCAAATGGTTCAGAAAACGAGTAACATTTTGGTGGCCAGTAGCAGCAGTGTTTATCACATTTATGTGGCCCTTGAGGTTTGGAGGCCCCCTGTTGACCTCAAAGAGTTACTACACTGCAGGAGCACAGGACCCCAGAAACAAACCTGTCCCTGTATGCAGTTAAGCCAACTGTGACCTATGAAACATCCATGATGTATGCATGTGCCTATCAATAGACTGCCAACTGGACGATGGGTTTATTATACAAGCAATATATATTTTATCATAATACATGACTCACATTTTTATACAGATACAATCATTCAGAGCAAGTGTTGTAATTGTAGAAAGGCAGGCTGTCCCTCATTAGCCTGCCCCCTGCTGGCCTGTTGCGATATTGAGTACTGCACTACTGAGCATCACAGCCCTAATGCCAGACAAAAGAGGGATTCGGAGAGGACATGCCAGCCTTGCCCGTGAACAAAACAAACACACAGCTCAAAAAAACGATTTTTTTTATTAACTTCATGAAGAATAACAAACAAATCTTTAACATACAAAAGAAAGGCAAAGTATTTTTTCCCCTTCATATGTGCAAGACAGTTAAAGCCCTTTCAGCTTCGTAAAAGCCCACCTCCCCTCCAACATTTGAAATTGAGAAACATGGAGATTCAATAAAAGAATAAGGACAAATGGAGGTCCGTCAGTGACAGATGAACTCATGACATCAGGAGGAAGAAAAAAAAATCCCATGTATTGCGCACTGTAGAAATCTGACCCCAATTTGCATTTGCTGTGTAAGATATTCAAGTTCACTGCCTCATCAAGAAGTCAAAGGTAAGCAGTTTTTAGCCACAAGGGATGACTGTACAGGCTGCATTCACATGTTAACACCTGGGCAAAAAAAAGCAGAAAGAAATCCTTTGGTGTAATTCCTTAAACTAAACCTTGTCAAGGAACAGAACTTCACTGTTATGGAGACATGACCCAGCTGACGAAGCCCAGCACTAAAAAATGTACTTTAAGGGGCACATGGCTGTCAAAATGTGTATTTTGTTTTTTTTAAACCTGCATAATTTTTTTGTATTCCTGTCAGAACAGTCCCAGGTAGGGGAGGGCATGCATATTCCATGAGGTCTCCTGGAAGGACAAGCTGGCAAAATCGGGCCGGATCACCTGGAAAGACTGTAAGCATACAGGCAGCTCTGCGCGATGCAGAAAGAAACTAATTTAAGGCCTCACCTTTAAGCTTTTGTTTTCTGAGGTAGCTTTGGAAGGAACAGGTTAGAGTAACCACAGTAAACCAAATTACATTAATAAATAAGATTTCCCCAGGATTTTGTAGCTGACAATTTTGGTTTTTCTTTAGGTGGTTAGGAGATTGTTAACCACCCATAAAAGTATAGATCCTGTTAAAGCCCTGTCCCATTCGATATCTGAACCCATGAAAGGTAAGACTCGGCGCGCAGTAATGCAGCCTCTGCGACGGCGGATTGTGCAATGCGGTTCGCGGTTCCACGCCTTTTCCACAGTCCTGGGTCCCTGAGTTACGTGCATCTTACACCGCAGTCTCACACACATCTGTCTGCTGCCAGCGAGGAGGAGCAGCACCTGAACACAAACTCTCAAGACTGGAAATGCACAAAACCAGCTCCCTTAGTGATGAGAGTTAATGTAAATTGCAAATTTTGTTTTTAGAAATATATACCCCATGTTCATCATAGCAAAAAAAATCATTAATTTACTTAATATATTAATTTAAAGATGCTTTTAAGTGCTGTTTAAATCTCTGCTGATTACAGATTCCTAGTAAGTGTCCTAACCTCAAAGTGGTTACGATTTCTCAATCTTACATTTTTGGCCAGATTTCAGGCCAGGGGTTAAATCGCAACCCAAGCAGAAGAGAGGGTTGAATCGCTCTGCAATTCGACTGAGCATCCTGTCCAGCCGCTGGCGCTCATTGGATGGAGTGTAAGCTGTGGGCGTGGCCAAGGCCAGGAAAGGCCTCACTTGCGGTCATCGATGGTCTTGATGAACTCAACGGCGGCCGTGAACTGCATCCACCAGTAGCTCTCCTCGCCGCTCAGACCGCTGGAGTAGAAGTTACTGATGTACTGGATGGTGGAGAGCAGGCAGAGGGGGTTGGCCTGTGGGATAGGGGGTGGGGGGCAGGATTACTGCTGGGTGTCAGAGTGATGTGACTCAGGGGAGTCACCACAGTTAGAGTCAAAGAAGAACTGGCGTAAGAAAGCGGATGTAGCCACACAATGGGAACGCTGGCACATTACCTATTCAGAGCTCATACTGGTACACACACACTGAAGCTCGTTACAGCCTTTAAATCCAACACATCTTTCTCTGAATAGCTCCCGGAAGCCTTCGCAGGTTGCATGGAAACATGATCAGGTGACTGAGCTGCTGTGCCCCCCCCACGCTTCCCGACCTTGATGAGGACGAAGACGAGCACGGGCAGGAAGTCGTCGGCACCAGGTACAGCGTCCTCATTGGCCAGGCTCAGCAGGTTCATGATGCTGGTGCACATTCGCAGCACGCACTGCACCTTGTCCCGCGGCGTTCTGTAGGCGCTCATGGCACCAATCTCCGCTTGTGCTGCCGGCCAAGGAGCCTCCTTCAGGTACACCTGGGGGGGGGGCGGGGGGGTGGTACAGGTGAGGAAGCACAGCAAATCTGAGAGGAAGTGGCTGGGCTGGGCTGGGATCAGGGCTGTTACCTGTGGGATTTGAAGAGCTTTGTGATTGGCTGTCACCACTTTGCTTAGCCGCTCAATGTGTTCGTGCAGGACCCTGGGGGGGGGGGGTTTGCAGAAGAGTGAATAACTGTTGTCTCATTGCATCATTTCTAAATTATAGTTTTTGCTCAATAATCAAACTGTGAGGCATCGCCTTGATTGGTCCACGAGCACCGCAGTTATAAAAGTCGACCATGTCTCTCTCCTGTAATGCTTCTCCAAAACCCGACGTCACTGAACTCCATGGAAGTGACCGGGGAGGGTGGGGCCACTCACTGGTCCCGCAGGGTGTCCCCGTCCAGGTTGGGGTAGAAGGCCATCTTAAAGATGTGGTTCATGACGCTGCGCTCGATGACCACCTGGGCGTCCTGCAGCTGCTCCTCGCTGGCAAACTGCCAGATGGCATCCTGGGCCATCAAACCATACAGGTGCTGCAGGAAATCCTCCACAGCCGCCGTCTTGTCGTCCGCCGCCGTGAAGCCCTGAAACGCTGTGGGGGGGGGGTTACAGGCCGCAGGCTTTAGCAACCAACGCCAAGGTTCATTAAAATCACTCGGAGATGGCTCCTTTTTTTAAAACCGTATTTTTCAAATTTTTTCATTTTTTTCAGTGTTTCCTTTGTTTATTAAACTCCGTTAGCAGAGCACGCCACATACTACCGTTTTGGTAAATCATGGAAGGGATAAGCATTGAAATGGTGGTGAAGAAAGGAACAGCTCAGCAGCCACAACATCCTTTAAAAGAGGAGATACTGTGGATAGACGAGGTGAAGAGACGTCAGTGGTGAGGCGGTACTTTTTGCAGTTTAAAGTTCGACACATTTAATAAACATAAGGATACGCCGAGTTTGTACAGATTACTAACTTTCGGACATCACAATACACTATATCATTAATATTGTAGGTGTACTACTAATCTGCTTACCAAACATCGATATTGTACTGAAAAGCCAGCGTCCGGACAAATGCTTACAGCCATCTGAAGCCCTGCTGATTACTGTACATGTGCCCTGTAACTGCCATGTGATATCATGTAGCTCGACCAGAGATTGTGGTGTTCGCCTTCATACTCAACTAGCACACATTATAACAAAAAATGATTGGAACAGAAGCTAAATGGAGGCTGTGGCTGTGGTTCAAATGAAGGAGATGGTGGCAGGCGATGAGGTCAGCGGTGGGGGCGGGGCTGGGCGTTGGGGGCAGGGCTGACCTACGGTGAAGTTCATCATCTTGTCCTCCATGCGCTTCAGCAGCAGTCGCACGCAGGCGGCCGTGAAGCAGCGGCTCGTCACCTCCTTGTCCCGCAGCACCCGCCGCAGCCGCCGCTCCAGGTGGGCCTGAGTCACCTGCAGCCCCTGCCGGCAGCGCGTCAGGTAGGCCACATAGGGCGCCCTCTTCCTGTGGAAACACAGAACTACAACTTAATGACGTTAATTCGCTAACCTCAACCGATGCAAACAAAGCAGTTATGGTACTAATTAAAATTAATAAACAGCTTGTTTAGTTTGCATTAAGAGTTACTCTAAATAAATCCCTACAAAGAAACACACAAACAGTAGAATAATTCATAAAAGCTGGTACTACTACTAGCCTAAGCAGTGAAAATACCAGAGGAGTTACCTGATTTCATATGAACCACCCTGTTCACATGGTTAGTATTAGCTAATACTGATTACACAACTACACTTGGCATCTAGCATGTTACACTACACGTAAACAGCATGCACACACATACATAAATGGCAATAGCCATGACCCCACCCTCCTCCCTGACCACACCCCCTACCTGACCCCACCCTCCTCCCTGACCACACCCCCTACCTGTAGTCACTGGCTACAGCGGCCAGCAGCTCCTCGCATTGGCCAGTGCTGACGTGACTGACGCAGCGCAGCGTCTCCTGGATCTGGGCCATCTGCTTCTTGTCTTGCAGATTGATGGCTTCGGCCAGCTGGACCTTCAGGAAGCAGACCACCTCGTTCCCTATGGGCGTGTGGGGGTGAGAAGGCTCAGGAGACCGGCGTCACACTCCCATCCGGACCGCGGCACATGTATACGGGGAGACACAGCCTGCACAAGCCACTCACTGCCATAACGACATAATTAGCTTCTCGAGGATCCTGGGGAGGGATTACTTTGCTGGCTTTTCCTAGCCTAAATGCGGAACGAGGGCATCATTTGAACCGAGGGAGGCATGTGGCACGGTTACACTCTGCCAGCTTAGTCACGAAATACAGCCTTTATCCACAGTGGTGGGGGTTCCCAGACTGCCGTGTGTAGAATTAGCCCAATTAGCGATACAGCTCATTACCTGTATCACACAGACCCATGTGGTTCCTGACAAACACTGATGTTATTCCAGGACAAGAATGCACCATTAACAGGGTCCTTGACAAGAGGGGGCTGCGATCTCATGGACCTCAGGTGATGGCCGACAGCGTGTGCGCCGGGGGGGGGTTGGTACCTTCTCGATGAACGTGGTCGGGCAGCCCGTTGGGGATGGAAGCAGGAGGAATGATGGGAAGGATGAGGGCGTTGGCTGAGCTCAGGGCTAGCCTCAGCTTCTTCTTGGCGTCACTGGGAACGAGCGGTAAGTCGAGAGCGCGGTCGTCATACGCGGTCGTCATACGCGGTCGTCATACGCGCTCGTCGCGAAAGTTCAGTACGCAAACACAAGGGCACCAACCTCAACGAGAACTGATATCTGGGGGCACAGTCGTCATTAGGGTAGGACTCGGGTCGGTTGTCCGTGACGACACTAGACGAAGCTTCGTCTCGCAGCACGTCCTCCCTGTGCTCCGTCTCCACAGCGGGCTCTGGACACACAGAGCAGGCAGAGACTGAGCACCTTCCATCCAAAGGTTAGGATAATCTCCTTAACCATCCCATAATTACACAAAAACCCCCCCTCTCCTCTCCACACCAAACCATGCAGCTCCAGCCAGGGCCTTTCCCAAAGGTCTGTACCTCTGATCTGACCAACGGCACAGGAGAGAGTCTGATATTGGGATACTGATATTTAATTATTTAAAAACAAAGGTCTGAAGCCAAATTAAATTTTGGGAGGTACACGGTGATGTTTTAGCCACACAGCTGAAGCTGTGAAGCTCCTCCCACCCTGAAATGTGAATA